TACGGCCAGGAGCCCCTAGTAGCGTTCTTGCTCCTAGTAGCGATGCCCTTTGCTCCTAGTAGCGTCCTCGTCAAGATGAACAGAGATTTCTGGGTCCATGGGCGAATCATGAGGTCCATCTATGGACGTCGAGATGGAGCAGCCCGTCAGGCTCACTTCCGAACTTCCGAACGGTCTGAGGGTGGAAGAACCACCAATTCAAAGAAGTGGCGTGCCCGCGGAGACGTTTCATGTGCAAAACCAATTCAAAACTCATCCTTTCCAGTTGCTGAGAGCTGAGTATCTTGTCCTATTGCTAGCCTCAAAGTCGGGCTTCATGACCAACAGCGTCTTGGCTTCGAGCAGCTCTTCCAAAGACCTTCTTAGGTCCTCACAAACGTTCCAGCTGCAGAGCATTCGAGTGGGCTCACAACTGCACGCATTCGCATCACGCGTCACGACCCTTTGCGAATCCCACTCCCCACGGCCGATGGGCCGCCTTGATCTCGCTCTCCATACGGCTGATCCTTGGCATGGGGGGTCTCTGCCGTAAGACGGAAATGGCCAGGATTCACGGAATCCCTTTCTTTTCTCCAAAGTAACAAATGATTGAAAGCCAAAAATACTAATTGATGTGCAAAAAAGAGGAAAATCACTGCGTATCAAATTGGTTGCGTGTTAGGCTTGGAGTGCAGTGCTCATTTGGGGAGGCACGAGATGCCAAAAAGGCTACTGACACCAGCATCATAGCTGTCGTGCTCAACCAAAAGAGCAAGCGAGATTAGATCCAGACACGCCAAGGCACTGAACTTTTAGCTGCGGCGACTCCATCTGGAAGCTTGGCGACTGAGGAATTCCAGGAAAGTCCTTGGCATGGTTTGAACTCATAAACACAGAGTTCGTGAGTCCAAAGACAGAAACAGTCCCAACAGTATCCATTAGAGCACAGATTGAAGGAAGCTCCAAACACTTGGCTGCCTTCTTTTTCATGTTGAAGCGCAATCCCTTTCGCAAAACAAACACGCAAGGATTTGTCAGCAGCAACTTTTCCCATCTTAGCCATTCCAGAGTGATTCCGGACTTCACGTCGGATTCTGCATCATTTATAACTATCTGCGGGAGTGTCTTTTGCACTGCAGTGAGGGAAGTGGTGAGAAGGACGGAGTGTGCGCAACTTCAAAACGTTCTTCACGACCATGAGGGCTTCAATGGCCCGGCCCAAGCTTTACACATTGCGCTCGTCGCACGGACTAGACTCTGGTGCCTCACAATCTTTGGGATCTGGCTGTGTCACCAAAGACCAACCTTTCCAAGTGCTTGAAGTGCGTTGGTTGGATCGACAACACCGCGGGAAGAGTCCCGGGATAATTTTCAGCAGCAGCCCGGTGAAGTTCGCGTCAAAGAAGAGTGCCGCTAGCAGCACGATGGGCTGAGAGTGCTCCAGGGCGCTCTCCAGCAGAAGCATGGAGGCAAAGCTTCCTACCTGGACTGGTTTAAAATCAAGTCCGGCGTTTGAAGAAAGCAAATCCGATCAAATCTAGCAGTGGCGTGTGTCTTGTGCAATCCCGTCCCAAAAAATGAAATAGCAGTCTCATTGCATGTCCGACTACGTTCTTGTTGGATGCGAAATGCACTAAGGCTGCATTGATGACTTGCGTCAGGATTTTCACGATGTTCATGATGGTGATCGTGAGAATGATACCTCGTAGGGTATCATCGAACCAACATCAAGCACGGCCGTGGGCCCCAAATCCCGATTTTTGTGTGATTTAGATTCCTCCAACTTCTAAAAGGTCTTCTGACAAAAAGATAAGTCGAATTTCCAGGTCCGGCGCCTTGAGTTGTTCAACGTTCAGAGTTGAAAACACCTTTACATGGATCGGCCAGATCGGTCTGAAACAAAATTGGTTCACTGGGTGCCCCACCTCCTGGTACAAGATGCTGCCAATCCACGGCAAGACTAGAGCTTTGCCAAATCTCTGACACCTGAGCCGCACATACACAACATGTTCCATACGGAGCGCATGCACAAGTGGGCCTCACCTTGCAGGTTCGGGTCAAAGAAGGTCGCGCGGCCTCGCCCGGCCTCGCAGGAATCGTCGGAGCTCTCGGTCTCGGTCTCGGTCTCGTCGCTTCGGTGGAGCCCCGGGCGGCGGAAGCAGAGAGCGTAGATCGCCTCGGGGGCGCGCCGAACGGTGCGTCGCGGTGCGCCCCGCAACGCCCCGCGGTGCCCGGTCCGAGGCATTCGATCCAGTGGCCAGGGACGAAGCGATCAACAGTTTGAGACCAGACCACACCACGTTGAGGCAAAGCTCCAGAGATCCGATCTCCTCACGTTGCGCAGGCATAAAAAGGAGTGCCTAAGGAAAGGAACTAAGCAGAGTGAGCAAAGCTTGGATGGAATGTTCAAGCATGTGCCAAACATGTGAAAATACGGACAGAAAGACAGACAGACAGACAGACAGACAGACAGAAAGAAAGAAAGAAAGGTCTGCGGAGAAGTGTGTTTCAAAAGAATACACGTCTTCTTGTGTCATGGATGGCTTTTTCACCTCGTGGTTGCAAATCTCGTTGATGGTGTTGGGTGTTGCAAAGAAGGAGGGCAGCAGTGCTAGTGCGAGGCACAGGCAAACGATGACCAGGCCCGCCATCGGTGCATCGGAGGACCTCACCGGTCCACAAGCATACATCGCCTGTAGCACCAATAGCATAATCGAGGCACTGTTCTGTAGCCAACTGAAGGCGATAACCTGGTCGAATAAAACCACGCTGCACATTGCTGCACATTATTAAGGCAAGCAGAGAGGGACTCCAAATACTTGGATGGAACAATGATGAGCATCAACCAATAATTATGTGTTGTGTCCCTGAAAATCCATGGAACCTTGCGCGCAAACCAGTCTTGTCATGCAGGAATTGCTACTCTTTCGGAAAATGAAACTGCGGCGCCTCTGGAGACAGTCCAAGTCCATCCTGAAGTCTGTCCTCTTCACAGATTTACTTTCCCTCAATACCCTCCATCTGTTTTTCTTATTGTCCTAAAACATTCAAGGTGTTGCTGGCACACGGCAGGCCACTAACCACCAATGAAAGACACGAAAACTGACCCCGAAACAGTAGATTGGGGGTGCCTCAACTCCCCCAAAAATGCATTTGGAATTTCAATAAAGGTGTCAAACTATTTTCAACATCATTCAAGTTGCCCATGGCGTTTGCAAATGCATCTCATTGAAGGCATCACAGGATGTGGCAGAAATGATGGGATTCACAGAAAAGGATACCGCAGCGTAGACCATCAAGACCGTCCTTCAAAATGCAAGTGAAAAAAGGACGAGCAGAGTTTTGCACTTGTAATTGCTGCTGGGTTGGTGATATCTGATACGATCCATTTGTCTGATGTGCCGTATGTGACATAGCCACAATGGTCGCACTGCAGCCAAGGCTCCCGTAGAATGCAAGCAGTTGTTTAGCAGGACATGTGAAGCACCAATACTGGCGCACCAATGCAAGACAGCCAACGAAGAATAGACCGCAGAAAATGCCGGCGGCATCTGCACTGAATTGCACTTGTCGTAAAGTGTATAGACCTGAATCAGCATCTTGTTCATTCCTTGGCGCATTTGTATCCTAGAAGACAACCACTGGTTTGGAAAGAAAAGAATCAGGTACATTTGGAGTTCCTTGCGATTCCACCGTCACACAGCACCACACACCCTCCGGATCCTACGGAGCGAAACAGGCCAAGCAATGGCAGAATGGCCAACGGCAATGGCATGAAATTTGTTGATTAAGCAATGGCAACATTTGGCATGTGTCCATAAAGTCTAACAAGTAGTGCATGCGTGTGTTTGTTGGACACTGCTGTTTTCAAAGGTGTGTGAACCGTTTCAATGCGCAGCATAGCACACGTACCCATCGTGACATGCAAAAACCGGGGAGCATCTTCCGGAACCGGCTTTGGAGCCCGCCAGAAAGTTAGCACGAAAAGCGTGACCCGATTTCCGCATCTCAGCCTGACAATGTGTTAGCATGTTAGTGTGACCCATGTCAGCGTGACAGCCTAACAACTTGTCAGCGTGACACCACGCCAGCATATCAACGTCATAAAATGTCACACAACGACACCATGTCAGCTTATCAGCTGGGAACAGCTGGGAACACCTCACTGTGTCAGAAAGACAACATGTTAGCAGGTGAGCAAAGACAACATGTCAGCGTGGCCAGCATCATGACGTGTGAGCACTGCAGTGGCGACATGACCATAGCTTCCCAAAACCCCTCCGGAACCTGCTCCCGAGACTTCCTCCAGAACCTGCTCCGGAGTCTGTACTATGGTTACTACTAGTAGCAAGTGCATCGCTGCTAGTAACAAGTGCCTTACTAGTAGTAACAAGAAGCTATTAATCTATTTTAAATTAATAGCTTCTTGTTACTACTAGTAAGGCACCTGTTACTACTAGCGTGGCACTTGCTTCTACTAGCAAACCTTGTTACTACTAGCTTCGCTGGGGAAAAAGACTGCGCGTCACTTCGCACGTCACTTCGCATCAATTCGTTTCACCGTGCTTCAGTGAATAGGCCGTGATGAACATGATGGGCCCAGCCAGGATGAGACCGAAAAGCACTGCTGTGGCGATCAGCTCAGCGGCTTCGGGGTCGAACTGAGACGCGAAGACGATGGGTGCGCTGCTGGTGGGGATGGCGCCATAGAAATAGGTGAAGTCGTGCAGAACCTTGATGTCACCTGAAAGCATCAAAGGCGTGCCTTTTTGGAGCACTTGTTGGATCGAATCTAAATCTAAACATTCCAACGAAACATATTGGAACAAAGACACCTTTTTTTATCCTTTTTTCGAGGTAGTCGGCAAAGTCCTAGTGCCTTAGGCATTGGCTACCAGCGCCACTGCTCTTTGGAGCACGGTGCTCAAAAGGTCTTGCATTTGCCTATGCCTGCCTGCAAGAAGCTTCCACGATCTGACGCAATGGAGCGGTTACGGAAGGATGGAAGTGATGAGATGACGAGCGATGATGCAATGAAGAGGGTCAGCAAATGTATGAATGCAAGAATGTGATAGAGAGACGGAAGTTGGTCAGCGGTTACAGCGCTACAACCCTTGCAAAACCGAGGGCAACTTCCGGAAGATGTGGCAAGTTGTTTGTCATCAAGACTTGTCCACCAATTTCTGACGCATAAGCGGCAGGGCATCTTGCAAGCTATGGAGGTAAGAATGGGGCCTAACTTGCTCAAGGTCGATGTTCAACCAAGGCATTTCTCCGATCAAGTCCCAATGTGATTCGATCAAGTCCCTAGGCTTCTATTGCCCCACATGACGATATTTCCAGTGACGAAACCTGAGCCCATTGACCTCCTCCGCGCACCAAAGCGGTACCAAAGGTATAGCTCAAATATGCGCAAACCACCACCTGAGGCGAAAACGTGGGTTTCGGAAAGGAGAGAAAGGAGAGGGCGTCCTCATGTCTCTGAAAACGTCCATAAATCTTCGTCCTGATTTCCCTCTTGCCCATCTGATCTGATCCAATCAGAACGGAACGACGTGTCTAGAAGAACCGGAGTAGCCTTCCTACCCCCCCCCGTGTTCCGCCTTCATCAAGACCAGTCCAACAGCCCAGACAGAGACGCGAGGAGTTCTCAAGGAAGTGCCTGTGAGGAAAAGAGCTGACATGCCGAAGGGTGCTGTAAAGAGATCAATAAAGTCAGAAAGAGGATGTGGTAGTCCTTGGATTGAAACTTGAAACAATGTTCAAAAAGAGCTCAAGGACAAACTCTCTTACACAGGCAAACCATGTAGTAACGAACACTCTTCTGAGTGATCTGGTCATCTAGCGTGAGATGAAGCGTTTATTCAGAAGGGCCACTCATAGTCTGCGGGTGTGAATTCTCCAATAAAAGCAACACAGGCTTAAGAATGGTTAGTGTGGTGCTTTGCCATGCACAAAAGAAGTGAATGCACTCAACCAATGAGTCAAAGAAATATATAGTTACAACCGCAACATTTATAGTTTGGTTAATAAGACGACTCTCCAACACAGAAAATATCACATCTACTGAGCATGAATAGGCAAGCAAACATTCTAGACACAGACCAAGCAGTCGGATTTTTCCATTTTCTTCAACCAGACTATTGCCAAAGATGATCTTGAAGAGCAAACCAGCCTTGGTAGCAAGCAGATGGCTCAGTTTGGAGGGTCCAAACACAGTGATTCACTGACAGTCCGTTCGGAGATTCAACATCGGATTCGAATAATACCTTGGTGGGGCTCGGAGCTCTCAAAGAGGTTTTTTGGGGGGACAAGCAGAAAGGAGATTTGTCTGCATTTTGAAGTCCAAGGACACAAGTCATGAAGATCACAGGATTCGTTGCCAAGTCATATAGGATATTGGTAAAGATTTGGCAGTAGCTCTGCCCAGTTCCAGTTCTGATGGCCCCACCGATCGCAAAAGCGATCATGGTCAAGGGGATGAAGACGAAGGAGCCAACAAGAGCCTCGGAGCCAGTCGGTTCGCGAGATCGTGGATCGAAGAAGGCAGAGCGGCGGATGTGTTTCTTTTTTGGATTAACGACACCTACGGTTTTTGCTACAGGATCCACAGATCAAGGATATCTACAGATCAAAGGGATCCTTCTGCTCACGGGCTTGATCTCTTCATTTTACTTTTCGAATCATTAGTACCAGTACAAGTCAAGAATGTGTTCCTTTCGCTGCCACCACTCAACTCTCTGCCTCTGGTCTTTGACTTTCTTCACTTGGGTCTTTGACTCGAACTATAGATTTTTTACTAGGGGCTCCTGGCATCGCTACTAGGAGCAAGGACGCTACTAGGGGCTCCTGGCCTTACATTTTTTACATGTAAAAAATCCAAAGAAAAGATGCCATAATAAAGACCTGAGACGTTCCCGGTGATATAAATGGACATGTCCTTCTCATACAAGGCATCAATCACTGGGAAGCCGATGGCGAAGTCATTGGAGGCCACTGCGAAGAAGGCGAAGACGGTGGCGGTCAAGATCCGCTGTCCGCGAGACCTGACAGGTCACACCGCTCCAATTCGATGAACTTCCTGAGTTCGCTTGGAGCGAAAATACTTCACAACCCTTTGCGGAAGTTCGTTGAGGCATGAAACACATCCAAAAGTGTCAGAAACAAGAGGGGTGAAGCTCTTAGAAGTCCAAGAGGACCGTCGACCGAAAAGGGGCGTAAGGCGTGGTAAGGGCAAATGCAGAACCCAGCTGAGTACGGGCGAACGCAGAGTACGGGACCTGAGGCTGCGTCGCATCGAAATGGTGTTCTGGCTTTTTCATGCGATGCTTCTTCGCACTGCTCGAGCACTCAAGCTCGCCTGCGGGGTTGAAAGACCGCATATGCCAAGAGCCAGGTGAGCACCATCACAGCGATCTTGCCCAGGCTGCAGGCTCCAATGACCCCGTAGTTCACGGAGTGCAACTCCGCAGTGGCCACAGTGTTGAAAATCAACAAGGGAAAGACCAGGGAACCTGGAATGCAACAAGAGATGTGAGAAGAAAGCAGGCTTTGAAATGCCGCCTTTTCGGGACCTAGTTGACCTGAAAGGGGCCCAGTTACAGCTCAAACACTCTTGTCCTTCGGCTTTAGGCGCGGCGGACGCACCGCCGCCGCACCGCGACCGCGATGGTGCACGTTCCTTTCGAGACACCAATAAAGAAGCCGATGCCTTTCAGGTGGCCTTCCTCTGGCGTTATCAGTTGCAAGCGAACGCAGAAGAAGCCTACCAGAATGGCCACCATCGTGACCAGCAGGGTATTGAACAATCTCATTGTGGGACTCGCCATGGCTGCTCACGGCAAAGACTATCTGCCTTGATCCCACCCTAATCGTCTGATTCTCCTCTTTCTCTCATGGCCGGCAATGTGTTCTTTCGGAAAGGCTGCCAAATTTCCGTGCGAAAGTTTCGGAGTTCCCACCTCTCAATTAGCTGCCTGCCTCTAGCCTTTGTCAAGAATTTAATGCTGTCAGCAGTTTATCAGACGAGATTGTCTCGCTCTGATCTGCAACGGCAACGCAAGGGCCCAACCAGTTGGATTGCCACAATGAGAACATTTATTTTAATCCACATGGAGACATGCTCCGCCACTCATCTCCAAGCCCTCTATCTGTTGGAGATACAAAGAGCGCGATACCAAAAGCTGATTGGTTTGGAGAGGCAACCATCATTGGCTATCCTGAAGACCTGACCCTTACACCTCTCAGAAGTCAAAGAAGGATTCGCCTTTGTATTTCAGGTAATGACCAGGATTTCCAAAAAAACATATGGGCTTCCCAGCGTCTGGGTCAACCTCCTTAGGCTGCTTCGCTAAAAATCACCCTCTTCGGAACAGGGCTACTCTCTTTGGAACGCACCAAGCATCTGTCCGCACTGGCGTCATAGAAGGTGCGGGCGATGGCGGCAATGCCACAGGGAGCCCACCAGCCTAACCAGTCGAGAGAGGCAGACGACCCGAACGGGTTAGGCTGCTAATAGCGAGACTCTTACAGGAAACTTTAAGGAACCTAGTAGCGATGGCCTCCAACCTAATAGCGATGGCCTCCAACCTAATAGCG